ATTCCTCTCTCAGAGCAGCTGGAGTTTGCAGACTGTGGCAGTGTTGGGGTGGGTGTGTCTCAGCAGCACCACTTTCTACTGGTAACAAGGAGGGGCAGTAAGGTGATGGCAGAGAAAAGGGAACTGGGCAGCCGCCTCCTGGGGTGCAGCTGGCTCTGGAGGGGGTTCTGTGCCATGGCTGCATGTTTGGGAGAAAGCTAGGAGTGGGGCTGTGGCCTCAAAATGGAGCTGCTGTGGGGAAGGGAGCAGGTGGTGACTGGTGGCTGCTGGATCGGGAGAGCCAGAGATCCCTTGGGCAGCAGGAAGGGCAGAGCAGAGGCCCAAACAACAAACAGGTGTCGTCACAGGTGAAAGGGAGCCTGTAGATAACCCAGCTCCTTCTGGAGAAGGATGATCTGGAGATGCAGAGCTGGCACAGGTTCCCCAGAGAATGGCTCCCCAATTCCTGGAAGTGTTCTAGGCCAGGTTGGACGGGGCTTGGAGCCACCTGGGCTAGTGGAAGGTGTCCCTGCCCATGGCAGGGGGTGGAATGAGAGGAGGTTTAAGGTCCCTTCCAACCCAAACCACTCCATGATTGTCACCCTGTCATGGACCAGGAGCCTGGCTGTGGTCCTCAAGGAGCTCGTGGGTGTGATAACAGGCAAGGAGGTGCCAGTTTTGGGTGTTACACGTGTTTTGTGGGTCACTGTAGATTTGTGAGGCTCTTCAGGGTCTGTAATCCCCCAGGTACAACCTGTGAGCTGTAGACCCATCCCATCAGGTCTGTGAGCTCCTCAGTGCCAGAGCTCTGCAGGGACTCTGCAGTCCCCCAGGCTGTGGTGGGTGTGGAGGGCATCCCTGTGCCCTGCCTGTGCCAGACCCCCCTGGAAACACGACCAGTGGGAAGATGCCGTGGTGGAGCAGTGGGAAGGTCTGCACAGAGAGCTGAGGTGGAAACCATCTGCTTGGCCCGCACTGCCCAGTCCAGGCAGCACATTCCCAGCTCAGGTTCCACCTGCTGGATCAGCCAGCGCTCCGGTGGGTGTCCTGGTGCCACTGGATGGGAAAGCTCAGGATGGAAGGGATTGAGCAATGGTCGGTCCCTGCCAAGGCACAGTGTCCGGCGTGGGAAGCGCGGCTCCTTCCATCTAACCCTGCCCTCTCTCCACACGCTGCTGCTGGCTCTCGTTTCTTTTGGCAGAAAATTCACATTCTCATCCCCCCTCTCCTCCCCTCGGCTTCGCCGGCTCCTCTCCGGCACTTCTCCGCTTCTCCTCCTGCCTGCGGGCTGGGAAGGGCCCCCAGAGCCACGGGGAAGACGCTGCTGTGGAAGGAAGGAAGAGCCGGGAGCTCCAGGAACTGCTGGTCCTGCTGTGAGAGGACACAAGGAAGGTAAATGTGGGCCCTTTGTTCCAGCTGGGAAGAGAGAAACTTCACTGCCGAAACCGGCGGAGCAGCCGCGACTCCTTGGGAATGGAAGGGACGGCTTGACTGAGCCTTTCCCCCTGAGGTTTCCTTAAGGAAGCCCTACTCCTGTTTTGGAGTTAGTAGGATTCCTGCTCCGGCATCCCCCTGTGAAGGAGGATTTGTGGGGCTCTGGCTTTGCCCGTGCTGTGAGCAGCATTACCCTTCCTGCGGGGAGCCCGCCCAGGCTGAGGGAGCCCTCCTGTCCCACTGCAGGGCTCTGCAGGGATCACCCACTCCTGTCCCCAACAGGGACGCTCACAGAGCTGCTGCTCTGCCGAGCTGGGGGTGCTGATCCTCGTGTCACCTGTTCCCAGGGCATAAACCCACAGCTGAGGCAAGAACCAGGGGCAGGTGTTTGGAGTTAACTCCTGAAGGATGAGTTTTGGGAGCGCCAGGGGTGGGGGCACATGGCTGGGTTCGTCTCATGGCGCCTGCGGTCGGGCAGATAAGCAGCAGCTTCTCCGGGTTTCTTCTTCCTGCCTGCCCTCCGCTGCTCCCTCTCCCAACCGCGATTCCTTCTCCTCCTCACTCCGCCGCAGCCGCATCCTCCGGGGCTCCCCCCAGGGCTCTGCCGGAGTGCGGAGCGTCACCTGCACGAAGGTAATTCCCTTCGGGGCGTCTGTCCGGGGATTTGTCCGTCCGTCCAGCTGCAGTGGAGCTGCTCCGCCCCGCCAGGAGCTCCCGACTGGCTGCTCCTCCTTCGCTCCTGGTGCGGCAGAGGCACAGGGAGCTGTCCCTGGCACACGGAGATGCTCTCACCTGTCACAGACCCAGGGAAGCAGGATGGGAGTTATAAAAACCCCTGTGTTGACTTTATTTTAGTCTGCCAGAGGGCAGGATTAGGATTGGGAAGGGTATGGGGAGGGTGAGGGTGGGGAGGCTCTGGCACAGGTTGCCCGGAGAAGCTGTGGCTGCCTCACCCCTGGAAGTGTCCAAGGCCAGGTTGGATGGGGCTTGGAGCAACCTGGGCTAGTGGAAGGTGTCCCTGCCCATGGCAGGGGTGGGACTGGATGAACTTTAAGGTCTCTTCCAACCCAAACCAGCTTGGGATGCTGGGACGTAGCTGAAATTCCTTTCTGTTGTGCCCTCCTGGCGAACTCCAAACAGCTCTTTTATATTTATTTCCTTCTTAAATTTATGTAACTTTCTAAATACCTCCAGGAACTGAAATTGGAAACCTGGCCAAAAGGAACCAGCCCCAGGGGCTGGGGGTGGGCGGCCAGCGCTGTGCTGGGGCTGACACGGGAGCCCTGCCCTGCTCCCGGGTGCTTCACCCTCATCCCTGGAGATTTCCAGGCATGTATTTTTCATTCTTGCCTCAAGCCCTCTTTGGGGAGGCTCCATTCACAGCCTGTACCCCGCCCTCAGTCCTGTCTTGCTGCTGCTGCTGCTGTTGCTCTTTGGACCGTGCCGGGTTGTGCCGAGTGCCAGGGCTGTGGCACAGGTGGCACCGGGCTGGAGCACCCAGGTCAGTGTGGGGTGAGGAGCCACGTCCCTGTATGGGCTCCCCTGGAGGCTGCACACAACAGGGAGGGCTCCCCAAAGGTGTGGGAGCGGGGCTGGGGTGTCGGTGTGGGGCTATGGGCTGCGGTCCAGCCTGTGCTGGGGGTAAAGGGAGATCTGGTGACGTGCAGCTGTGATTTACAAGAGGTTAATCATAGAATCATGGAACTGTTTGGCTTGGGAGGGACCTCAAAGCTATTCTCATTCCATGCAGCCACACCTTCCGCTGGCCCAGGTTGCTCCAAGCCCCGTCCAACCTTGCCTTGGGCACTTCCAGGGACGGAGCAGCCACAGCTCGTGCCTCATATATCTTGCAGGGAAGAATTTCTCCCTAATATCCAGTCTAAGTCTCTTCCCTTGATGCCCCCAAGGCCCTGCCTTGGAAAGTCGAAGTGGGATGGTGTTTCCAGGGCACCTGCAGCCCCACTGGCTCTTCAGAGAGGTGACAGAGGGACAAGTGTCTCCTGCAGAGACTCCCTGGGCTGTTTCCAGCAGCTTCTCTCCAAAAGCCGGCATCCCTGCCGTGTGCTCCTGACTCTTTAATTTCACACACGTGTGTTTTCCAGAGGACCTTTGTCTGTGCTGCTGTGCCAGGCCCCAGCCCTGGGATGCAGCCCGTGGCCCTGCAGAGCCTGTCGGAGCTGGAAAGAGCCAGCCTGCAGGAGCTCGCGCTGTACCGGCTGCAGGAGAAGCTGCTCGTGGGGGATCTCAGCCTGGACAGAGGTACAGCGTGGGAGAGAGTGGAGAGAGAGGGAGGGAGAGGATGGAAACTCAGCCCCAGGGAGGGCTGAGGCTGGGCCAATGGTGGTGCATGTCCCCGCTCCAGACTGTGGGATGCTGGTTATGGAAAGATGTTTGTGACACATTTTGGTCCTCTTTGTTTGTCATTCCTGCTTTGGTCTGAGCCCCAGAGGCTCAGTCAGCCTTTGCAGGGGGTTTGCATGTCCACAGGAGTGTGAGAATGTGACCCTGCCCGTGTCTGCCTTCAATTCCCCCCTAACCCAAACCAGATGTGACAGCTTGGCGAGGTCCCCACTGGGATTGTCTGAGTGCTGCTGGGATGGGACAGGCTTTGCTGCTTGGATCCACATCCAGCACAAATTCCTGATGCTGGGAAGGGGCTTATGTGAGACTGGAAGAGGCGCTGGGAGATTAATGAGTGGATAAATTTAGGAGCTCCACAGGGACTGAGCACAGAGGCCCTGCCGGGGTTCCCAGGGCTGCCTGTGTCCCCCCACGTCCTCACAGCAAACACAGTGAGCTGGGCATCCACTGACTCCTTCCCATTTTTCCTTGTTACCCCCTTGACGTGCCTCCTCTGCCCTGGCTCGTGTTTTGGCATCCCAGCAGGGCAGGCGGTGCCTCCAGCTCTCCACCTCTGGGGCCGTGGAGTACCAGCAGAGGGAGCTCAGAGTTTCCAGTCCCCCCATCACTTCAGCAGGGCTGTCAGCAGTACCAGCGCAGCTGGGGCTGGGACCTCCCCTGGATGGAATCCCCCCAGTCTCTGGGGACCTCTCCCAAGGATGGAGCATTTCCCAGCCTCGTCCTGGGCAGCAAGTGACACCGGAGTTTGGTTTCCTGTCTTAATTGCCGTTTGTAAGGTTTCATGCCATGAAACGAAACTTCATTCATGAAATGGCTTCAAGAAGAGCCCAACAGAGCTCCCCTCTCCCTCCCAGAACTCCAGCTGCTCCAGGGCTGCAGCACCAGCCCCTGGGGGACTTTGACCACAAACATCCTGGTTCTTTTTACATTTCACTTTATTTTGGGCTGTTGTGATCCCATTTGCAGTGACACCCTGCAGCAGTGGCTTCTCTAGGGACCAGTGCAGTGCCAAACCAACACCCCCCCCCCAAACCCAGTATTTCCTTCCTGGCTGGTCAATGTGCTGCTGGATAATTTTTGTTGGCTTCTACACTCGTGTTCCTCATTCCAGCTGTCACAGCTTTCCCCTAAATCTTACAAAATAACCCAAACAACTAGATCTAAGCTGTTCCTAGGAAGAGAATTGCTTAGGAATGAGGAGCATGAGCCAGAACAGGGTGATGTGTTCTCAAAGGATTTAGGGTGGGCAGTGACTGAGTTGTCAGTTTGTTGCTGCTGGATGCGCAACATGGGAGTCCTCCAGACCAGGATGGGATAGGTGACAGTGTTTTATCCAGCTTTATATGTCTGTGTCCTCTAAAAATTCCCAAATGCCTTTCTGGGCCGCATTCCTCATGTAGTGTCATGAAGTCCTGGTACCTGAGTGCCAGTCCCTCCATCCCTTCACCTGGGGAGGATGATGCCCATTCCCAGGAATGTTCCCCAGGCATCCCATGGGACTCACGGATCCCTCAGGGCTGTGGCCATCACCACAATGTCCCCACATCCAGAGGCTGCAGAGAGACAGGTGTCTGTGAGGAGAGCCCATGCTGAACCAGCCCCATGATCCTGGTGCTGAACCTTCACCTTCTCTTCTCCTCCTAGATGGATCCAAAGGCAGTAAATCCATCCGGCAGAAGCTGGAGAGCTTCTCAAAGGAGAGGAAAGGTGAGCAGCCTCCCCTTTCCCTGGGGTTTGGTCCCTGCTCTCAAGTGGAATTGGTGAGTTTTGGTGGGGTGAGTTGGGAGGTGCCCAAATCCAGCAGGTCTCTTCATCCCAGGTTGCTTTGCTGTTTTTGGAGTGAGGTGGAACAGCACGAGCGTGACGGAGCCTGGAAGGATGGAATATGTGTGCACATAAATGTGCATTTTCAAGCTGTGCACATATAAGTGTTTCTATCTGCCCATTTTGCCCCAGTCTCGCTGCTTCCAGTTCCACTTTATCACTCCTTGAAGGATCTCAGTGACAGCCCCGGGGAGCCCACAATCCTAGAGCAGAGCCAGGCAGGAATGAGCTTCCCCACACCAGCACAAAGACAACTCAAGGAAACTACTGAAATTATTGTCTCATATTTTACTAAGTGGATTTGTGGCTTGTGCTCCCAGGGTAGGGCAGGAGTCTGGGGGTGAGGAGAGCTCTCCTTGCCAGAGGGACGGAGAGGGACAGTTATCTGGGAAGAATACCACTAATGCCAAGGCTGTTCTACGTCAGCAGATGTAACTGAGGCAAACCCCGTAGAAAACTGGAAGGTTAGAATTGGGAATGCTCTTCCCACCTGTTCCTGGGGGCAGGAAATCTGGGCTGAGTGCAGCTCCCTCACTGGTGATGCTTTTCCCTTTCTCCCATGCTCTTCCCCAGACTGCTCTCCTCACACCTTCGGGATCCCGCTCTCCCAAGTCATTGCCAACGACCGCGCCTACCGGCAGCTCCAGGAAGCCGTGGGGAAGAGCCGCCGGCTCTGCCTGGAGGTGGAGGCCACGGTGACCAGGTTTCGGGCTCAGAGGCAGAAGAAATCCGGGATGGGCCCAAGGTGTGTCCGAGCACCTGATGGGGGCTTCCCCGAGGAGCCGCTTTCCCCAACTCTTCTGGACAAGAGCTCCTGGAGCCAGCGGAGGGTACGGACCCAAAACAGGCTGTGATGGTGCTGTAGGATGGGGGTGGGGTCTGAGATCAGTAAGAAATGGGGTTTTCCTGGGTCTTTTCTTAACAAATGTGAGTTGGTCGTGCTCCAGGCAGGGCTGGTCCCAGCTTGCCCTCAGGGAAAGGAGGATGGCCCTGCTTCCCCTGGAGAGGGACTGTGAAGGGTGGGGGGCTCTTCACCAGCTGGGGTGAGCCAGGGTTACCAGGAGGACATTCAAGGGTCCAGAGGGTCGGTTTATAATGGATATGGAGAAGAAATTCTCCCCTGTGAGGGTGGGCAGGCCCTGGCACAGGCTGCCCAGAGAAGCTGTGGCTGCCCCATCCCTGGCAGTGTCCAAGGCCAGGTTGGATGGGGCTTGGAGCAAACTGGGCTAGTGGAAGGTGTCCCTGCCCATGGCAGGGGGTTGGAATGGGATGCTGCCTTTTCCCACAAACCTCTGAGGTGGCAGTGTGCACTGGGATCTGTGGGGTCATCCCTCTGCTCCGTCCCAGGGGGCCATGTCCGTGGATTCCATCACCGACCTGAGCGACAACGCGTCCAAGCTGCTGGAGGCGCTGCAGCTCTCGCACCCCCACGAGCTGGACCCACGGAGAATCCTGGGCAAGAAGAAGATGCTGAGCCTCAACCCCATCAGCTGGCAGGTCCCACGGATCGTGGACAGGTGCTGCACGCACATTGAGATGCACGGTAAGGGAGTGGGTGCCTGGGCAGGTCCCGTGGGAGGGAGGAAAAACCCACTGTGTGTGGTGGGCTGGGACATTCCAGCCTGGCCATTCCCCAGAGGGGGAGGAGGCAGCTGGTTTAGTGGGTGTGGGTTCATTTGAAGGTTGGACCTGACGAGCTTGGAGTTCTTTTCCAACCTTAATTGATTCCACGATTCCTGGAGCAGGACATGCTCCCAAAAGAACCACCTTTGGAGAGTCCTCTGGGCTGGAAGCTGCATCAGAGGGGAATGTCATTGAGAAGGGAATGTCACTGTGTGTATCAGTGACCATGTATGGTGCCTTAACTCCCACTGCAGATCCAGGCCCTCCCTCAGAGCAAATGTGGGGGGGAGATCTCCTCCCTTGCCAACAGACAGTCCCAGAAAATCTCATATCTCTACAACCTTTCCTTTTCCCCACCCTGCCTGGAGAGGGAAGGGTGCACACGAGAACCCCTGCCATGGTGCTGAGGTGCTCCCAGGGCCAGCTGGGGTGGCAGAGATCCGTGGGGATGCACAGCACTAACCTGCCTGTCTCCCAGGTCTCCAAACAGTGGGAATCTTCCGCGTTGGGAGCTCCAAGAAAAGAGTTCAGCAGGTAAAGGGAGACTTCTACTGCGTCCTCGTGGCTGTACCACCTCCAAGGGTCAGGGGCTTGTATGGATGGGGATGAATAGAGCAGGCACCGGTGTGGAGAGGTCTAAAACATCCCAGGCACGTGGTGGATCACAGGCAGCCTTTATCCTGCTGCTGAGTCCTTCTCTCCGCCAGGAGACAAGCCCAGTTCCTTTCCTCCAGCCTGCCTTTGGCAGATGAGCCTCCATGCCCTGGCTGGCACTTTAGAGCCAAGGGCTCCAGCTGGTCCCATGGCCCATCCAAAGGGCAGCAGAAGGCTGCAGGGCTCTGACATGCCTTTTTGGGGTGCCCTGCTTTGGGGGGACACTGGGAGTAGCCGACCCTTGTATCCTGCCATGGCAGTAGCCCTCCTGACAGGATGATTCCTCCAAAGAGTAAGAGCTGACCATTGCATTATTCCTTTAATTTCTTCCATCTCTAAGCTGAGGGAAGAGTTTGACCAAGGGCTGGATGTTTTTTTGGATGAGCATCAAAGTGTTCATGATGTGGCTGCTCTGCTCAAAGAGTTTCTTCGGGATATGCCGGATTCCCTGATTCCCAGAGAGCTCTATGGAGCCTTCCTCAGCACAGCCAGTGAGTATCTGCAGAACAGGGACTGCAGAGTCAGGGAATGGGTTGGGTTGGAAGGGACCTTAAAGCCCATCTCATCCCACCCCCCTGCCATAGGAAGGGACACCTTCCACTAGCCCAGGTTGCTCCAAGCCCCGTCCAACCTGGCCTTGGACACTTCCAGGGATGGATCCTTCCTCACCACCCTACTTTTCCAAAACAGCTGGACAGTGGTGGGATGAGTGATGTGCTGCCTGGCACTGCCATGGGCAGTTACTCTCCTCTGTGTGTTTGGGGGAGTTTTTTTTTTAAAATTGGGTTATAATAATCCCTTTGGACCAGGACAGTCTTTGACTGTGGGGCTGTGTATTACCCAGCACCATCACATCACAGCCCTTGCTGGGGTCTCTCATCCCGTGGGATGAAGGATGGGACACCAGCCCGGCTCCCTCCCGAACATTTTTCCTGTGGGCGTAGAGGAGGGCTGGAAGTGCCTGATGGGCTGGAATCCTCACTAACAGCTGCTCTCCTGCCCAGCCATGGAGGGGCCAGCACAGCTGGATGCCCTCCAACTGCTGCTCTTCCTGCTGCCCCCCTGCCACAGCGACACCCTGCACCGGCTCCTGCGCTTCCTGGGAGAGGTGGCCCGGCACGCCGAGCGCTCCTGGGATGCCGACGGCCGGGAGGTGAGGCTGATCCAAGGGGAGCCTCTGCACGGGGAAGGGGCGCTCAGCCTGTGGTGGTTAGAGCCCAGCAGAGCTGCTGCAAGCCTGGCTGAACCTTCTGGAAAAACCAAACCCATCCCAGAATCATTTAGGTTGGAAAAGCCCTCCGGGATCACCGAATCCAATCGGTGACTGATCCCCACCTTGTCACCCAGACCAGAGCGCTGAGGGCCACGTCCAGGCATTCCTCCAGTCCACCTGCAGGGATGGGGACTCCACCACCTCCCTGGGCAGCCCCTTCCAATGGCTGACAACCCTTCCCAGGAAGAAATTCCTCCTGATGTCCAGCCTGAACCTCCGCTGGCACAGCTTGGGGCTATGACCTCTTGTCCCGTCAGGACAGGATGAATCCCATGTCCACAACAGGCCTGTGTGGCCCAGGCTGGCTCAGGGATTTTCAGGGTGCCAAAAACCCCAGGAAGACCTGGCTGTGTGTCCATAGGCAGCGCAAGGGGCATTTTTTGTGGACTAATTCTGGTTTCCCACCTCCCAGTTCCATGAACTTGTGTGACTGTATGTTGAAATTCCTTTTGATTTCTCTGGGCAGCTCCATGACTCAGATGCTGGTTTTGTCCCATAATGGGAGATGAAATGGAAATATTGATCCTTGGTAGGGGCTGGGAACGTGAGACATGGGAATGAAGGCTCTGATGCAAGGAGGGGATGAGCGTTTGCTTCAGCACCTCCAACCCTTTGTGCTGGTCCTGACATCAGCTCAGAGAGGACCAAACTGGACCCAGACCATCATCCCAGCCCCATCCACCAGCTCATTTTCCTGCCCTGGGGTGGGTGACAATATCCTGGGACATCCCGTGCTGGTACTTCCATAATCCGCAGTTTCCCTTTGTGCTTCCTTGCCAGGTTCCCGGGAATAAAATGACAGTTTCCAACCTGGCCACTGTCTTTGGTCCCAACATCCTGCAGAAGGAGAAGCCCGGAGAGAAAGATGCCAGTGCCCTGAACTTTGAGGACAGTGCTGCCATAATCCTGGTGCTCCAGAGGCTGATCGAGCACCACCAGGCCCTGTTCATGGTGGGTGAGGCTCCTCAGGGCAGCTCCTCCAGACCTCCCTTCCCTCTGAACTCTCCCAGTGGCAGCAGAGCGAGGGGGTGTTCACAGCCCTGCTCAGGAGCAGGTGACTCGAGTTGGCTTTGGGAACACAGCTCGTTCCTCACGGTGCAAATACGGATTTAGGGTGACTTGTGCTGCCATTGTAAGGGCAGAGCTGAGGGTTGTGCCATGGAGATCCCCTCTTCTCTGTCACCTCCCACCCTGGTGATGTCTGACTGAGCTCCTCTGGGGCAGGGAACCTCTGGCCAACAGCAGGGGTGTCACCTGGGGGCTGTTCCTTCCCCAGACTCCCAGTGAGGGGGGAAAGAAGAGGAAACATGGGAGAGCCTAGAAGAGGGAAGGAGCTGGAAGAGGATGGCATGGGGTGGAGTGCCAAAGCCTCAGGAAGGTGTGGGGAAGATGTAGCAGCAGGGAGAGCTGGTGAAGGTAGTGAGGGACCACTTCAGATCGCTTGAGATCCACCCTTGAGCAGGAGTCAGGCAGTGCTCATCTCAGACTAGGGGATGCATTGCTCTGAGATTCCCAAAAGCTTTTAGAGTCATGTAAAGGCTCATATGGGAAGAAGAGAGCTCTGGGCCTCCAGACCAGCCAGATCAGGGCTCACTTCCAAGCCAGATCAGGCCTGCATCCAACTGGGCTTTACTTTTTTTCTGGGGATGGGGAGCTGTGACCTCTCCAGGTCCTGTCCCAGGACTGCACCATCATCAGGGGAAGGTTTTTGTCCCTGTCAGAGGTGCCCCTGCTGCACCTCGGTCTGGCTCTGGGAAGGGTCTGGCTCCATCCTCTCTCCACCCTCCCACAGGACACTTTCAGGCAGCAAGAGTCCCATGCAGGTCTGTGGGAATGGGATATTTCAGCCAAAAAGCTTCATGGCAATTTTGGAGGTCTGCAGGGAGCCAAAAGACCGGGCTTGCTGGAGAAAAAACAGGGGCTGAGATGCTGTAGACCCCGGGAGGTGTGTGGGGTGTGACACCAACATGATCTGTCCGGGACCAGGTGTTGTCCTGGAGTCCTTCCACTGTCCTTGGCTGCCTCTGCTCACCCTCCTGCCGAGGGGGACCGTGAGCGAGGGTGTCCATGTGTGCCCCCAGGTCTCTCCAGAGATGCAGTGTGACATCCTGAGGAGGCTGTTCCAGACAGATCCCGACGTCATTGACTACCTGCTGCGCAGGAAGTTCCCTGCTGTGCTGTAAGTCCCCCACGGGGCCAACCCTGTTGATCTTCCTCCAGCCTTCCTCTTCCCTCCACTGCTTCTAGTCATGAGCTCCCCGGCAAAAGCCCTTCACATCCCAGCTTTCCTGTCCCTCAGAGCTCCGTGTTCTGCTTGTTTCCTCCCCCATTTCCCTCCAGAGCATCAGAATCCCTTCTTGTCCAGCCCCCTCCCCTGCTCCTGCCTCTCGGGATTGCACGCTGATATCTGCTCCATGTTCAGCCTTCTCCAAATCTTCTTTGCCCTTGGTGTCCACATTCCCATGTGGTTTTTTTTTGCCTTGCCCTGTGTGGCTGTGCATCCACTTTTAGGCTCCAAGATGGGACAGTCCCATGGAGGCTCAGAATCGGAGCTCATGCCCTTCCCCGTGATTAAATACAGTGGGATTAAATACAGATTAAATACCTCATGTCCCATAAGATGGGCCCACCATCACAGCACCTAATGCAGGGGAGGGTTTGCTCCCTGGGGTTGGAAGCAGGGGATCCCTGGAAGCAGGGGATGCTCGGGAACCTTTGGTCTCCTGGTAGAGCTGGTGACTCTTCAGCAAACAGGGACTGTGCTGTGTGAAGAGTTTTCCTGGACCACAGGCCACGTCCAGGCCAGGTTGGGCAGGGCTTGGAGCAACCTGGTCTAGTGGAAGGTGTCCCTGCCCATGACAGGGAGCTGGACTAGATGGTCTTCAAAGTCCCTTCCAACCCAAATGCTGGATCCTATGATCCATGGGACAGTTCCTTGTCTGGCTTCACATTCCCTTTGGGGCTGTCCAGAGATGGCAGTCTTTGGGATCACTGCTAGAGGACATTTGGGAGTGGAGTTGGCAACAGAAGCATTTGCAATGAGCATCTCTCTCTTTTTTTGTTGCTTCCTTAGGCACCTGGAGCGTGAGGGTTCCGCAGAGGGCCCCTCTCCCTCGGCACTGCCTGGCTGGACACGCAGCCTGGAGAGCAGCTCGGTCTCCTCGGAGCTCTACAGCAACGTCTCATTCTTGAACCTGCACATTGGCATCTAGTGAGCCCCTGGCCAAGCCCTCTGGACAAACTGGGCAGCCTTTCCCAGCGAAAACTGGTCCTCTGCCCCACTTTGGGGGGAAAGCCCTGTGCCTGTGCCGTGGGGGTGCGTGTGTGGGGCAGAGCTGTGCTCGGGAGCCACCAGCGTGGGCTGTCACCTCCTTGTAGGTCCAAAGCACTGCCGTGCCCTTGGCACAGCCCTGCCTTCTGCCATCTGTTTCACTGGAGTTTGGGGAATGAGATTCCCATCCCCAGAGCTGAGGGGACTGGGGCGTCCATCTTTCAAGGGAAGGCTGAGGGAGCTGGGACTGTTCATCCCTATGGATGTATCCAAGTGCTTTTGTAAGGGCCTGGAGTGACAGGACAAGGGGGAATGGCTTCCTGCTGCCAGAGTGCAGGGTTAGGTTAGGGAAGAAATTCTTCCTTGTGAGGATGGTAAGGCCCTGGCACAGGTTGTCCAGAGAAGTTGCCATGGGCAAGGACACCTTCCACTGGACCAGGTTGCTTCCAAGCCCCATCAAGCCTGGTCCTGAACACTTCCAGGGATGGGCAGCCACAGCAGAGGGATGAAAGAGTACTTTTGTGAACAAAACCAGGCTGGAGTGTCTGGCAGAACTGCAGCTCGGGGAGGGATGGGGATGTTTAAAGGACCAAAGCTCCATCAGTTGTTCTCTCTGTGTGGGTTTTCCTGCATTCACATCCAGAGTTAGTCCATGGATGATGGTCCATGATTTTAGATCATCTTAAAGGTCCTTTCCAACCCAAATCATTCTGTGAGAGGTGGAATGGGGAGTCCCAGCCAGGGCCAGCTCTCCAGGAAGCTTTGGGCTGGTGGGATGCTCCCGTGTGTCACAGCTCTGGGCACATCTTCTAGCACCAGAAGGATGATGAAGGACTGGATTGACCCTTTCTGTGCTGCTGGCCTGAGAGGGAAGATGGATTCCATATTCCATATTCTGCCACAGCCTGTACTGGTCTGAAGGCACCAGAGCCCCGGGGCTGGGCTCTTATTTTGGAAAGGTCCCTTCCCTGCGGATGGGTACAGTTGGGATGGGTGGGGAAGTATTTCCTGGAGGAGTGTGTGCTGTGAGATAGCTGGGGAGACCTCCTGGGTCTCTGGTCTCTGATAAGCTCCAGAGACCAGCAGTGCTGTTGAGTCTGTGGCAGTGGATAAGCTGGGACACCACGGGGCTGCTAAAGGTTCCTGAGGTCACCAGCACACCCGAGTGTCCACTGTGACACCAACACCATGTCCAGGGGCTGGGCTGGGCAGGATTATACCTGCTGCAACAGCAGCCCCTCTGGGGACCTTCCACATCCTTTCTCAGGGTGGTAAAACAATGGCACAGGTTGCCCAGAGAAGCTATGGCTGCCCCATCCCTGGAAGTGTTCCAGGCCAGGTTGGACGGGGCTTGGAGCAGTGGAAGGTGTCCCTGCCTATGGCAGGGGGTGGCACTGGATGGGTTTTAAGGTCCCTTCTGACCCAAAGCATTCCATGACTCCACGATTCTATGGATGAGACAGGGATGCTGTCACACGAGGCAGCTCTTTGCAGGAAAAGTCCTGTTGAAGTTCACTTTCCCAGCGCCACAAAGGAGGCAGGGAGGGCATGTGGGGCTCACTGGGAAGTGCCATCTTTCTCCTTTTACTACCAAAACTATAATAATAACTGTAGGGTGTTCCTCCCACCACATCAGAGGCCTAAAACTGCTCAGTGCCGGTGGGATATTGCTGGAAACTCCACTTGAGGGCAGCCCGGCACCGGCCTGGCCATGGCCTCCTGGAGCTGCATGGACACTTTTCCACCCAAAGGAGCAGCCAGCTGGCGCTGCTGGAACACACCAGTGCTGGCTGAGAGCTGCTCTCCTTCAGCCTCACAAAATAAACCCGCTCCCCAATCAGCTGCAAAGCTCATTCAGGGAGCCTTGGCGTTGCTCCGAAGAGTCCGGTGGCTTTTGCCCTGCTCTGGGTTCTGTTCTCGTGCACTTTTTTTCCCTGGTTGTTGGGGGGGGGGGGTTAATGTTTGGGGGTGCTTGTTGTTGAGGGGGTGGTTGCTGTTTTGGGAGGTGCTGGTTGTTGGGGTGGTTGCTGTTTTGGGGGCAGTTGCTGCTGTTGGGGTGGTTCTGGCTGGTTCTCGGACACCAACCCCCCAAAACCATCCTGAAGCACTCAGCACTGGTGGGGTTTCACATCTTAGGGCTTGTGTGAAGGGCACAACAGTGAGTTTCTTCAGGGGTGAGATCGACTGCTCGGATTCATGAGTGATTTTAAGGTCAACAGCAAAGAAAGCAGGGCCCACTCTCTTCTTTTTTTTTTTTTTTTAATTCTGTGTCTGCCCTCACGCTGCTGAGCAGGATCCGGGGTGCTGCCCAGACACACAGCTCTGGGCTTGACAGCTCACTGGGAAAAACTGGAGGGGAAAATCATGGAACTGTTGAGGTCGGAAAAGCCCTCCAAGACTATCCAAGTTCAACTGCTCCCCCAGCACTGCCAAGGCCACCACTAACCCATGTCCACAGGTGCCACATCTGCATGGCTTTTAAATTCTTCTAGGAAAGAGGACTCCACCACTGCCCTGGGCAGCTTGTGCCAGGGCTGGACGACCCATTTCCATGAAGGAATTTTTCCCAATATCCAACCAAAACCTTCCCTGGCACAACTTGCAGCCGTTTTCCCCTTATTCCCCGGGAGCAGAGCCCGACTCCCCCCTGCTCTACCCTCCTCTCCGGGGTGTGTAGAGAGCTCAGGTCCCCCCCCGAGCTCGGGCACGGACTGGGGGGTAACCCCGGGACCACCCGGGATTTCCTGGGAACGCCCATTGGGGCGGAGCCTCTTGGAGGCCCCGCCCAGGCCCCGCCCACCCCATCATCGGTTTGGGGCCAAAACCGCCGGACCGGCACCCGCCGCTGCCGCGGGACCGGAGCGCAGGGAGCAGGGCAGAGCCGAGCCCGCCGAGCAGCCGGTGAGTGCCGAGCCGTCTCCTCGGACCCCCTCACGCATCCTCCCACCCGCAGGGACTCTGCTCCTGCATTCCCCCCACACCGCGCTGCGCGTCCCGTCGGGAATCCCCGGGAGCGGGGTGCAGCCTGGGGCTCCCGGACTGTCCTGGCCGGGGATTGTGGTCCCTTCCACCTCCCATCCAGGCTGCCCAGAGAAGCTGTGGCTGCCCCATCCCTGGAAGTGTTCCAGGCCAGGTTGGACGGGGCTTGGAGCAGCCTGGGCTGGTGGAAGGTGTCCCTGCCCGTGGCAGGGGGTGGGACTGGATGGGCTTTAAGGTGCTTCCCACCCAAACCATTCCGGGATTCTATCCAGCCCCTTATCTGGTTAGGGCCATCTCGTACTGGGTTGGATGCCAGCTCAGCTGTGGGATGAGCTGGAGGGATGTCCGAGATGCCCGAGGAGCTGGATGAGCTCAGAGCAAGGCTGGGAACAGCCTGCAGAGAGGGGACCTGGAGTCTGGCTCTGTCCCGTGCCAGCCTGGGGCTGCTCCCAAGAGGGTCTTTATGGGGCCGCCTACAGGGTGGGTGCTCCAACACCCCCTTCTTGCCCCCCAGCCATGGCTGAGGAGCTCAGTGACCTGCTGAGAGAGTTTGATGAGGTGATGGAGGACTTTGACCGGGGCCCTGCGTGTCAGTACCAGCAGCACCTGGAAGAGCTGAAGAGGAAAGCGGGACACAGCGTGTATGACAGTGGCATCGATGAGCTGGAGAGTGAGTCTGGGGGTGGGGAATGGCACTGATGAGCTGGAGAGTGAGTCTGGGGATGGGGAATGAAATAGATGAGCTGGAGAGTGAGTCTGGGACTGGGGAATGAGGAGCCGTGGGTGATGATGGTGTCTGTCTGTGGGAGCTCTGGGGTTCCTCCATGTAAAACCACTGAGTTTCCTGCTGATGCTGCCTGACTCATCCCTGGTGGGCTGGATGAGCCACACTGTGGGGATGACCGCTGAATCCTGGGCCCAGGACCTGCCAACATCTGCCAGGGCTCCTTCTGCCAGGCTGGCTGCTGCACAGCTGTGGGAGGCTTGGGATAAGTGGGAGCTCAGAGGGACCCAATTCCCTGTAATAACCCTGAGAGTCCTCGTGACTGTGCCCAGACAGCCCCTTGTGATCTTTGGCCCAAGGAAGAAGCTCAGTTGCCTTTTTTCCAAGCATTCCTGGTACCAGGGGAAGAGCAGATGGGCTGTCCAAGCACGGGGGAGGACCCAGCACCCTGTGCCATGGGTGGGGTCAGTCCCTGCTCCTGCAGTGTGCCCATGGGGGGCTGTGGCCGGGGCCAGGGACTGATGCTCTGTGTGTGCAGGTGCCAGCACGTCCCCAGGAAGCAGCCTCAACTCCAGTGAGGAGCACCTCAACACCCCAGCCGACACCTACCCTGCCAAAGGTGAGCCCTGGAGTCCTGGCAGGATCCTGGAACAGCCATCAACCTGGATTAGTGTGTTCCCAGTCAGGAATGGATTGGCTGGGATGGAAACAGCTACAGCTGGAGCAGCTGTAATTAGGAAAAAGGGGTAGGGGGTCTTTCCTCTCCCGAGTAAGAGGAGGAATGGGAAGACCTGACTTTGTTTCTCCCCACTAGCTAAGCTTGGTGACACGCAGGAGCTGGAGGAGTTCATCGCGGACCTGGATAAAGCCTTGGAGGGTACGTGCCCAGCCCTGATCCCTGCACTTCCCACCTACTGGGGCTCCTCCACTGCCCCTGGCCAGCACCCCTCCTGCCTGGGGGTCCTGCTGCAGGGTGCTTGGAGCCTGGGTTTGGGCTTTTTTTTTGGTGAGGGGCTCGTGGATGTCACCTCCCTCTTCAAGCTCTTTCAGCTGGGGCAGAAACACAAGGGCTGCCTGTCTGGTGCCTCAGCTGAAGAGATGGAGGTGCTGGTACCTGGGGAGGGGACTGGGGATATGAAGGCCATGCTGGCCCTGGCAAGGATGCCCAACAGGACAACCTGCAGAGCTGTTGATGCTTCTGGAAAGATGCAGAGGCGCCTGTGGCTCTCTGCCTGCAGCCTCCTTCCAGCTCCTGCTTGGAGGCTGCTCTTTGCTTGAGGGGGAAAGGTGAGCAGGAGGAAAAGAGGATTTTTCCTTGTGGTATCTCCCAGCCCTGTGGAAATATCCCATCTGGGGGGAGGAGAGTGGGTCTGCGTGGTGGCAGGAAGGGGAATCCCAGCCTGTGGGTTGTGTTCTCCTTCTCCAAGTGTTTCTGTCCTGGTGAGGGCCGGGGGTGTCGCTGGGGAAGAGAGTGACGCTGTTCTGGGCATCTCTGGCAGCTCTGTGATCTGGTGAGGTTGGCTGCTCCCCAATATCTTCCTTTCTGGGGAAACTGAGGCAGAGGCCACACTTCCTCTCACAGGGGAACAGCGTGACAGGCTGGAGGCAGAGAGAACTTGAGTTCAGAAAAATAATGAGATATTTCCCCCTACACGGACAGTGTAAGGCACAGTTCTGGTATCTGTTCCCTTCCCTGAGTATCCAAAATGAGGTGGCTGGTGGGAAGTGTTACTCTGCAGGCCCCAGCCATTCTGGGAGGGAGTGAGACAGGAAGGGGACCAGAGCTGTCTCCCTTCCCCCAGATTTCTGCTCTAACCCTGCTGCTGGTGGTGCCAGGGGGTCCAGTGCAGCCCCCCCAGCCATCCTCTCACCATCCTCTTTCCCCTCTGTATCACCCTGCAGAGATGTGAGATGTGGTTCGAGGTTTGCAGAGGAGGATCCCCAGCAGCCGAGCCCCCCTGATGCCTGCCTGATGCACCTTCTGCTTCTGCACTCACTGCTGGCCTGGGGATGGCTCCTGGGGCCGTGCTGGGGCCGGGGACAGGTACAGGCATGGGCAGTGGGGACGGATCTGGCCGTGGGACAGTGGTGGCAGGACCCTGCCAGCGCTGAGAGAGGACAACCCTGGGTGGGCACGGGGGCTGGTGGCTCCCGGGACTGAGTGGGTTGAGGAGGTCTGTGCCACTGATGAAGCCCTTGGAGACCCCCTGGGTGATTTTGGGGAAGGACATCAGTGTGACTTTGGTGTCCCCTCCAGGTTGGGAGAGCCCGTTCCCCCGGTGGCATCTGTCACAGGTGGTGGCAGCCACTGCTGGCCCTTTGCTTTGCATGGGGCCCCCCAAATCTGGCCCATGCCTGCCCCCCCAAGTGCCTCTGCCCCAGCTGCTGCTGCTGTAAATACTGTAAAAAGGATGTTTTGGGCTGTACAGAGAGAATGTGTTTCTATAAACAGGATTTTAAGCCTCTACTTGTCTTTGTCCATCCTTTTCCTGTCGGTGGCGGTGGAGCAGGGATGCCTGGGGACTGCCAGCTGGTGGGACTGGCATTGGAAAAATGGGGGGAGAGACCTCAGGGAAGCAAATTCAGCAGCATGTGCCTGCCTGAAGGAGGGTATTGGATTGGGAATCCCTGGTCCTCCATTCCACTTGGCTCTTGGACAGTGTGGGGTGGGAGAGGAGGCAGAGTCCACCCCTTTCCCCCTCCATCTGCTCAGGTAGATGGGCCACTGCCTGCTCCTCTTGCTGGGGTGGGTAACACTGCCCTGGGGATCCTGCTTCCGAATGAACGTGCCCTGGTACCACTTCCTCTTGTTACTGCCACTGAACAGCCCCAGGAGCGAGCCTCCCGGGCTGTGGGTTTGCAGCCACAGCTGATCTTGGACAGAGCTTTGGCTTTGAGTGGGATGATGGTTCCCCCCGGGTTTGCCCTCCTTCGTTTCCCTCCTGGAGTTTTCCCTCCCCGGGAGCTGCCCCCTGTGCGTTGGAATGACCGAGAAGGAACGTGAGTGTCTGCTCGTCCCAGGGCTGGCAGCACTGCCCTCCCTCCCTTCCTGGGATCTGCGTGTGGAGCAGGGTCACGCGTGGCTCTGCTGCAACTGTCTGAGCAGGAAACGGGCAGTTTCGGTTTCTTCCCTCATCCCTGGCCGTGGGTGCCGAGCAGGAGGATGTTGGTCATCTCCTCTGCCAGCCCCTGGACTTCGAGCTGCCGCAGGAGTCTGCTGAGCCCACGCTAATCCGAGGGCGGGGAGGGAGGGCAGGAGAGGAGCGGGGGCTTCTGGGCAGCCCCGGAGCTCCAGGCAGGGCACGGGGACACTTTCTCCTGTCGCTGTCCCCGTGTTGTGTGATGTTACCGCTGATCTCCCTCCCAAACAGACCCCGAGGAACAGCCAGAGGATGGGGGTGAGAGTGCGTGGCAAGGTGGTGACGTTTGGAGCGCCTGTGACACTCAGGGATCTGCCCGTGATGCTCTGTGGGGACACACAGCCCACATCACCGGGGCCCAGGGGACAGGAGCCACGGGCACTGTCCCCGCAGTGCCGATGGTAGCAATCCCCGTGTCGCTGGGCACGTTTTTCCCCTCTGAGTCACTGCACGCAGCGTTTCACCCCCGCTGTCTCGCTCTGACTCCGGGGTTCGTTATTCCACCCACAGTCCCGTTCTGCCTCTGGGCAACATCAGCTCCTCCCCAGCCTGTGTGGGAAGGGGTTTTTAACCCACCAGCCCCAGTGCGATCCCCGATAGGTGACGGTGGTGCTCGGGCTGTCGCTGTCCCCAAGTGCCACTCGCCCCCTCACCCCCGCGGCAGCGGCAAACGTTGCCAAGCAGCTACAGAAATAAATATTTTCCAGCCCCAAATCTGCCGTGGCTGATCCACCCCTGCAGCCACAGCGCGGCCCCGGGGAAGCTCCGGAGGTGCTTTGTTGTGAGCGTTGCCAGGAGAGGGTTGGGGTGTTACCCCAGCCCCTCAGGGTTGGGATGGGTGTGTGGTGCTGCCCATGGCCCGCAGCTCAGCTGTCCCATCCCATTCCTTTGCAGGAGCCTCTCTGGGGCTCATGGGACCTCCTGCTCCCCTAGCTGTCAGCATCTGCTTGGGTTGGGGCTGGGGGGACAGTGGGATGGCATTGGACACCCCACAGTGCCAGTGCTGTGTGTGGGGTAACAGAGGACCTAATGCCAGCCTTTGTCCTGCCCAGCCTGTGCCAACAGCAGCTCCACCTAAACCTCCATGATGGGCCTCTCAGGGCAGTAGTGGAGTCACCATCCCTGGAAACGCTAAAAACATGTAGATGTGGCACTTGGGGACACGGTTTAGTGGTGGCTTTGGCAGTGCTGGGGGAATGCTTGGACTCTGATCTCGGAGGGCTTTTCCCCCCTGAATGATCCTACAATTCTGTGGCTTGTGCGTGTTGGTGAAGCAGATCCCTTTGGGCACAGTGGCTCTTCTGCTGGGACAGGGGCTGGGACAGCTCTTCTGCTGGGACAGGATCTTTTTTCCCGGGAATCTCAGGAAGGGCTTGGGGACACACCTGGACGGTGGGGTGGCACTGAGGTGGGGGCTGTGGCGTGCACTGCCCCGCGGAGGGACAGTTGCCCAAGGGCTGTTGTGCAGCCTGGGGGGACCCCCGACCCCCGCCGTGCTCGTGGAGGTGCCGAGGCTGAGCAGGGCGGTGGGTCGGAGGGTCGGTGGGTCGGAGGGCCCTGCTGTGCACGTGCCGTGGAGGGGCTGCAAAAACCATCAGCACCAACACGCACATCCTGCGACACCGCTGCTCCTCCCCTGGGCCCCCTGCCCGCGGCAGCAGGGACGGGGGGAGCAGGAGCAGGGCCAGGGAGCAGCTGGGATGGGCGGGATGGGGTGTGGGGCTCTGCAAAAGAGCCCTGAAAGGGTCCTCATGGGACCCCACTCTCTGGAGGGATCGGGAGCCGAGGGTGCCGGAGCTGCCCTGGGGGTTCTGGAGGCCCCACCATCAGCCGGGAGCTGCCGGTCCGGGCTGTCGGGGTGCAGGGAGAAGAATGCCAGCCCTAGGCAGGCTGGAGCAGGGCTGTGGTGCTGCACAGGGTCCCCAGCGAGGCTGTCCCCGCTCCCTGAGCGCTCCCCGCCGCGGTGCCCCAGCGGCTCGAGTGTTTTCTTAGAAGCAGCAGCAGCGTGCGCGGGACGGGATGTGGGTAATAACCGGAGCCGAGGAGCCTGCACGGGCCCCCTGCCTGCAGCTGTTCCTGCAAAACCAGCTTTTCCGGAGCCCACCTGGGTCTTTGCCAGCGGAGCAGGCACTGAGCCCCACACGCTCCCTCCCATGGCCCTCAGTGAGCCCCCTTCCCCAGGCTGGGGGGACAGTCACCTCCCTCACTGACTGCTGGGTGGGCAGCCAGAAACCTCCCTGGTGGCCACCACTGTAGAGACCACCTGTGGGCAGGCGTTGCCTGTGTCTCCCTGCTTTCCCCCTCTCTATATTCCCAGGAAGAAGGCATCTATCGAGGCATTCCTCAAGGCAGGGCCACCACACCATGCAGGTGCCAGGGCTTCTGTCTGTGCCTGGGAGCTGATGGGCCCTCACCACCCACCCCCAGGGCTTGATGTTCCTTGATGAAGTTGCCGGGAAAGATCCTGGAGGGATCTTTCCAGCCTCTGAGGGGGGTAAAAAGAGTCGTCTAAAAGAAAAAGAGCTCCCCTAAAAGAAGTTGTTGCCACTCCGTGCTTCAAAGAGGAACCTCAACTCTGGGGAAGGGAAGTCCCCAGCTGCCCAGCTGTCTCGTAGTTGTGATGTAAGAGGCTGTAACTATTTTGGGAGACAGTGTAACCCTGGGGATGACACCTGCTTTCTTTCCTGTAAAGCCCCCTCATATGCTTTGGTGGAATCATAGAATGGTTTGGGTTGGAAAGGACCTTAAAACCCATCCAGTCCCACCCCCTGCCATGGGCAGGGACAGCTTCCACTATCTGAGGTTGCTTTAAGCCCTGACCAGCCTGGCCTTGGACAATTCCAGGGATGGGGCAGGCACAGCTTCTCTGGGGAACCTGTGCCAGATCTTCCCCACCCTCAAGCAGAAGAATTTCTCCCCAGTATCCCATCTAACCCTGCCCTCTGGCAGTGGGAAGCCATTCTCCCTTGTCCTGTCACTCCAGCCCTTGTCCTGTCGCTCCAGCCCTTGTCCCCAGTCCCTCTCCAGCTCTCCTGGAGCCCCTTTAGGCACTGGAAGGGGCTTTCAGGTATCCCTGGAGCCTTCTCTTTTGCAGGTGAACCCCCCCAGCTCTCCTAGCCTGGGTCCAGAGCAGAGGGGCTCCAGCACTTGGAGTACGGTGAGATCTTTCCACATTTACAAGAAAGAAGGGAGAAGTTGGGCCCCTTTGGGTTTTCCAGGAGGCTGGTGCCTGCAGACCAGGGCTAGGAAATTCCTCATCTGAGCTGGGACTGCGCCAACTCCTGAAACGGTCCCTGGGGAGTCTCCACGTGACCCCAAATCACCCAGGGGACAGGAGAGCTCCACAGCAGGGCCAGTGGGGAGTGGGAGCTCCCCACTCCCAGGAATGCCAGAATCCATGGATAGGAGGAGGCAACCTCCTCTGGGTCCCCCTTGAGCTTCAGACCAGTCGGGGGGGTTGGTGTTTCTTTCTCTGGCCACTGCTCAACCTCTGACTTCATCCCCCAGGTATCCAAAGAGACAATGCCGGTGGTGGTGGCCAGCAGGGCATCCTGTCTGTCCCCCCCCCCTCCCCGGTCACTTCCCAGGATTGTTCTGCTCCCTTGGCCAGGGGCTGGATGGGGAGTCCCCTGGGAGCGGGAAGGGACAAGCCTCACGTGCCTGGTGGCTGCTGGAGTTTCGTTCAGTGCCGGAGCACGGCCGGGGTGCAGCAGGAACCGGGCTAAGGTCATCCTGTCCCTGTGCTCGCTCCTGCCACCATTCCCTCCGCTCCACTAGGAACTACCCTCCTGCCCTGGGCTGCGGGGCAGGAGCCCCAATCCCATCCCAGCCAAAACCCTTTGTCTGACAGCACCGAGACTGACCCGGGTCAGGGTGAACTCGAGGGAGAGCAGCGGATCACGGCGGAACTGGGACGTGCTCTCTGCTGGCTTAGCTGGCATTAACCTCGTGATTAAACTAATTAATGCAACACCAGGAGAATCCAGCCCTGTGTCACCATTTCCTTGCTCCAAGCCTCCATTCAGGCAGGGGCTAAGCCTGCAAATGCCTATCCCTGACATAATCCCCCCTATTTCTGCGCCTGGAGGCTGGAGGCTGTTCCAGCAGCGATCTTTGGACCTGGAATATCTGCTTTTCCCCTTGTAATTCCTTGTGGTTTGGGAGCACAGTGCTCAGCCACATGCTCCTTCCTTGTGTGTCCCATGTCCTGCCCACTCAACTGCTGTAGGGAATGTTTAGGTTATAAAATTCAGTTCTTTTCCCATTTTCCTTTTTTTGGGGGTGTGTGTGTGTGTGTGTGTGTGTGTTCACAGAATCCTGGAATG